TATGAGTTATACTCCGGAAACGAACCCTACCCTCACAGAACCTAAGTCCATCTTGGTGCAATGGAAACGTAAAAAATAAAAATTTCTAAAATTTCTCTTTAGCAAAAGGCACCAGTTCAGCATGTACCTGACAGACCTGCAAAGTTTGATGAAAAAATATTGAACGGTTTATGAGTTATGCTCCGGAAACGAACCCTACCCTCACAGAACCTAAGTCCATCTTGTTGCCATGGAAACGTAGAAACGTAAAAAATAGAAATTTCTAAAATTTCTCAATAGCAAAAGGCACCAGTTCAGCATGTACCTGACAGACCTGCAAAGTTTGATGAAAAAATATTGAATGGTTTATGAGTTATGCTCCGGAAACGAACCCTACCCTCACAGTACCTAAGTTCATCTTGGTGCCATGGAAACGTAAAAAATAAAAATTTCTTAAATTTCTCAATAGCAAAAGGCACCAAATCAGCATGTACCTGACAGACCTGCAAAGTTTGATGAAAAAATATTGAATGGTTTATGAGTTATACTCCGGAAACGAACCCTACCCTCACAGAACCTAAGTCCATCTTGGTGCAATGGAAACGTAAAAAATAAAAATTTCTAAAATTTCTCTTTAGCAAAAGGCACCAGTTCAGCATGTACCTGACAGACCTGCAAAGTTTGATGAAAAAATATTGAACGGTTTATGAGTTATGCTCCGGAAACGAACCCTACCCTCACAGAACCTAAGTCCATCTTGTTGCCATGGAAACGTAGAAACGTAAAAAATAGAAACTTCTAAAATTTCTCAATAGCAAAAGGCACCAGTTCAGCATGTACCTGACAGACCTGCAAAGTTTGATGAAAAAATATTGAATGGTTTATGAGTTATGCTCCGGAAACGAACCCTACCTTCAAAGAACCTAAGTTCATCTTGGTGCCATGGAAACGTAAAAAATAAAAATTTCTAAAATTTCTCAATAGCAAAAGGCACCAGTTAAGCATGTACCTGACAGACCTGCAAAGTTTGATGAAAAAATATTGAACGGTTTATGAGTTATGCTCCGGAAACGAAACGTGACGGACGGACGTACGTACGTATGGAAGGACGGACGGACGGAACGAGTTTCTATATCCCCCGCCAACTTCGTTGGGCTGGGGATAATAATTATGTGTGTGAAGCAATAAGTCCATAGAAATCTTTGATCGGCAACGATCACACCCCACAACAGGTGCGCGAAAATAGTCGAGACAAAACGTGTTTAAAAATAGCATTCATGCGATGCCAAATATGATAGGATATACGCAGGTGGGTGATGTATATATATTTTAAAAAATACGATATACATATTTTCAGTGTTAGTTTCTAATTAAATGTGGGATATTTAAATAATTTTTCCTTTTATAAAACATTTATCGATTCAAGCATGATTTTACAACAATTCACGGATCATCTTAAAATTTATTCCATCAATATAGAGACCGCCATGATTGCGTATTGATGATAGATTTGTTAATGTTTAATTATTTACATCTGTTCACAGCTTCTAAAATATTAAGTTATATTTAGTATCTATTTTTTCCACAATGATTATGTGTATGGATACTAAATATTGATCAACAGGTCAATGCATCAGCAAAGTGGAACTGATCAGACTTTAATCATTATCTTTAGTTTAAACATATTTTATTCAACAATTGTTATCTTTCACCTGAACATAAATTATGTGAATAAGTAACTATTTGATGTCATTATTTAAGTTTAGCATTTCATAAAAAAATATAGAAATAGATAAGATCCTTATATGAACCTATACATACACAACTCATATGGTTTGTTTGTTTCCAAAAATCTAATTTTTAAATAGAATTGAAATATGAATACGAAAGATTAATTTCTTGTAACAGAACATGATATTTTTGTTTGTTTAATCACAAGAACCAGGTGGCACTTAAGCTTGTGAGTTAGCCATATATTTATAAGAGAATGTTATCTTTTGAAAAAGGAATAGGGCACATATACATACATTGACAACTCTTGCAGTTCTGTTCTGTTGGAGAAATGTACATGGAAATATTCTACCTTATGTATATTTTCATGGTTCTCACCAATGAAATAATGTGTAATTAGTGTGGCAGGACTTTCCAGGTGTGTTGCAGTATGTTCTCGTGTGCTTGACAGTGACACTCACGCATGTCCCCTGAAGGAACATGAACCATTGTGAAATGTGATCAACAGGTTTTTGTCTTCAGTCAATATAATGTACAAAAATTCAAAATAAATGCAGATCATCACCAGCTTTGGATCTGACATCCTTGATCATTTTGATGGGTTTCTGAATATACAGTCAGTATAGGTCCTTATGTTCTATGTGTCTCAGCCTTCTGGGTGGAGTGAAAAGAAATGTCCCTGTATACATGATTACCTTTGTCAGATGTATTTTGTCCTGTCAGCCACACACCCTGACTTTATGTCACCTTATGTGGTTAGTTTTTGCATACATGTACTGCTAAAAACCTGTTATTCCCTTGTATATGCAATCACAGTATCAAACTTCATCAGCTGGTGTGTCACAAGTTCCTCAGTTGGTGTGTATAAAAGTGCCCTTGCCATCATGAAACAAGAAATGCCAAAAACAAAAGCATTTGCAATAACAAAAAACCCACATTTGTCCTTCCTTGAATAATCTTAGGATTAGTGCTTGAAATTTTTAGTGTCATAAATTATTTTTAAAAATTTCATAAGGATTTTTCTTTGATGGACCAACCTCAAACCATCTGACAAGTTAGATAGAATTATAACTTTAAAAGCCCTCATTTCTGAGGTGTCCATATATTTTTTTCTACTTTTAGGACAAAACATTAGCCATCTACCTGAGCTTGGTTACGTAAACAAATACTTGTTTAAAATGTGAAATGGAATTCCACTGATTAGATATCTTTTTTTTATCCCATTGTTCTATGAAATCCATTTGAAATGTGCTTTTTTGTACGTAAATATCTTGAGAGTTTGTACCCAAACAGGTATGTGGTTTTGTGCCCAGAATATTTTTGTATTACAGTTTTGTCGTTTCAAACTTACACATTGCTTTTGTATGAAAAAAGTTAATTTATTATCACTTTTCTGTCAAAACACTAGATCTACAATTACCTTACGGTTTACTAATTTACTGGCCTCTTCTCCAGTGACAAGAATTTATTACTTTCCTATCACAATCAGTCAATTTGAGTTGTGCCAATGTGGACTGACTACACTCAAGGACCGCGTACATTTAGGTTAGTCATATTATGAACTTGATGAAATGTTTTACCATAATGTTCAGCTCATTGTTAGCAATAAACATGAAAAAATAAATATGATCAAACAGATTTAGTTTAGTTTTTTTGGGTACAAAATCATCAAGTGCTTTGGGTACAATTTTGTTTTGGGTACAAAATCACATAGGCCCTACATTCATCCAGTCGACGTGTGTATCTACTTTCATCCGTTCTGAAGATTGGGGAGGGGGAGTAAACGTTTTAAAAACAATCCTTAATATTCTAAATTGTCCTTCTTTCAATGAGAGACCAATAACAATATTTTGTTGTTATTATTATGGCATATCAATATGTTATATCGCTCTCCGCTGCCGTCGTTTTCAGAAAATAATTTTCAAATCATCGAGCGTGGAATCCTTTACGGTTTCGGATTTAGACTTACAAATTTGATGTTACGCACCGGCGGCAATCACGAATAAATATGAAACAAATAGGAGTGAAGACGGCTATCCAGATCAATAAATAGTAAACAGTTGTCGAAAAAAAGTAAACTATGTATTTTCTTTTGAATTTGTATCTATTTCGGAATTTGTTTTATGATCGCTTACCAACTTTTGCATATTTTGCTTCGATGTGTCATGCGGTACATGCTTCCGGTTTCAGAATTGATAGCTAAAATTGCAAGTATTTCGATTATTTTCCGTAAACTGCATTATATTGCTATTAAATGATTTACCTAGAATGTACATCAGTTCAGATTTTGCGCATCATCCAATATTTGTCATTATTTGCAGTGTTTGTTGACTTTGTTCAACTCAACAAATCGCGAGTTAGGCCACGCCCAAACGTATCACCGACGTTTGACGGCTTGTCATTGTGTCCGAAAGTTTATCAAACGAAATCATTTGAAAACTCTGTAAAAATGATATTTTGTTACACAGATTTATACATGCGTGTCAATAATTCTAGAAAAATAAGTTAGATGTAACAAAATTATTGTAATAGTCTTACGGGATCACTATGCATGTGGAGTTGTTTGTTTACCGCCGTTGCCATGATCGTACAAGTTTCAGCCAATCAATGATGTTACGATTCAGATTGTTTTTGTTTATAATTAATTACTTCGAAAATTGCTATTTTTTAGAAATTAAGGAACTAGAGTGTTTTCCCTTCGTCAGCAAACAATAAATTATGATCGAATGTGAAAAATGATGACATTATAAAGAAAATATCGGACTGCATGCCGCTCAACGTGAGTGAGTGAGTTGGGTTTAAAGCCCTTTTGTAACAGTATTCCAGTTATATCGCGGCGTGTCAGCTTAATGTGGGAGGAAAGCCTGAAGTGATGCAGGTCTCTGACGTTTATCACTTTGGTGAAACCCACGAGCACGGGTATGGTGCTGACAAACCTAGAAACATAATCGGGGCGAACCGGGATTCGAACCCACAATCATAGGTTTCTGGCGTGCCCAAGGGACGCAACTCTGCACAGCGAATCGCAGCGCCTTAGACGACTGGGCCACCCGTGCCCCCTCCGCTCAACGTGAAGTGCCAAAAGTTAACAATGGCCGTTTCTGGTAGTTGAGTGCCGCGAAGTTTGGCTGAAACTTTTTAAACTCGCGATATTTTCTTTTTGAGGTAAATACACTACTGAAAGTTTTGATATTGATCAAGCTGAGCATTTATGCATGCCATACGTAATTTAAATGTAACGCAAAGCCTTCTTGGTAAATAGATATGGCGAGTTTTGTTTGTGGGTGTCCTTATGCTATTCGCCTGTCGAACTGGTTCAACAGTAGCAACACGGGTAGTGACAGACTCTGTCGAACTGGTTCGACAGTAGCGTTGAGAGCTTTAAAATGAGAAAAGGAATCATTGGGACAAAAATTTTTTATCCCATTAATTCACGAAAACCAGTTGAAATGTACAGTGGTGACTTTTGTACCCAAAATTTCTAGTGATTTGGTACCCAAATGGGTATGTGATTTTGTAGATCTACCTAGAATTATTTCAAAGATATACATTATTTTTGGTGTCTTAAACTTAACATAATATCACTTTCCTATCAAAACAAAACCTTCTAACTTAGGTTTAACTGGCCTCTTCTTCAGTGACAAGACGTCAACTTTCTCTCAAAACCAAACAATCAATTTCAAGGATCACAGTCATAATCATATTATGAACTTGCTGAAATATTTTATTATGTGTTCTGTTCATCTACATGAAAACATAAATATAATTATAGATCTATTGTCTTTTTTTCTTAAGTACAAATTCACAAAGTATTTGGGTACAATTTAATTTGTTTGGGGTACATAATCACATATAGGCACCTAGAATCTATATATACTGAACCAAATTAAAAACTTCACAATCCTAAAATTTTATCATTTTGACAAGTTATCATTGTGGGCCCTTATTGTGTATTTAAACAGTAATGGCCACGTATTGTCTTCAGATAACACCCGTCTTTGTGCAGGTGAATCGATCAAAATCATGTGCACAGCACTATAGTGGCAAAAGTGTTTTTTCACGTGCTACTGGTCACGTGGCCATAATACTGCACATGTTTTCAGCCATACTTGTTAGCAGTCATTAACAAAAAAAGAAAAACACAAGAAAACAAAAGTCTTTACGGCCATTTGTCATGCCACGCCTTTCAAATGTGAAACGTGAACGTGCCATCGGCATGTTGCAGACGGGAACATCCATAGCTGAAGTCGCAAGGTCGATGGGTTGTAGTCGATGGACTGTTTATGATTTACAGACGCGTCTACAGCAAACGGGTACCACCGCTGATCGCCCTCGGCCAGGTCGACCACGTGTGATGTCACATGCAGAGGATCGTCAGATTGTCTTTCGTCACCTCCGGAACCGATTTTTGACGGCTACATCAACCAGAAATGAACTGTTTAGGGGTAGACTGAGTGTGCAAACTGTTCGAAACCGTCTGAGAACTGCTCACCTTCAAGCACGACGGCCATACTGCTGGCCGATTCTGACTCAGTTACACAGACGTCAACGTCAATTGTGGGCTCAGCAACACTTACGATGAACTCAGAGGAATTGAAATCAAGTCGTCTTCAGGAATGAATCCCAATTTAATCTTTGATTTGCTGATGGTAGGGCGAGGGTGTGGAGGCGCCGTCATGAACGTTATGCCCAGTGTTGTGTACAGGAAGTTGACAGATTTTGAGGCGGAAGTGTCATGGTGTTGGGTGCTTTCTGTGGCAATGCACATTCCAGGCTTCTTGTCATCCGTGGCAACCTCAACGCTGCTGCTTACCGCGACCAGGTACTGGCACCAGAACTTCTGCCTTTTATGGCAGCACATGGACCAAGGGTAGAAACTAACATATTTAGTCCACTAGTCCTTATAATGATAACATATAGCAAAACCTTTAAAAGTGGCAAGTTTCTACTAGTCCTTATGATACCTTAACTACTGGCCAGTTTGGCAAGGACCACAGGAGTAGTGCCAATTTCTAACGCTGTGGACCCGGTTTGATCTTCCAACACGACAATGCCAGACCCCACACAGCAATTTTGACAAGGAATTTCCTTCAGAATGCGGGAGTCAACGTCATGGACTGGCCGTCAAGGTCTCCCGACCTCAATCCCATCGAACACGTCTGGGATGCTATTGGCAGAAGTCTGCGCACTCTCCAGAACCAACCACAGAATTTGCAAGATCTTGGCACCATTTTGCAGCAACAATGGCGTCATCTTCCCAATCATGTGTTCACAAGCATCACAAGGTCCATGCGGAGGCGTTCTGTGGCAGTTGTCAACGCACATGGTGGCCATACATGCTACTGAACTTGTGTGCCATCAGATTCTTGTGCTTGGGATTTATGATTTAAACTGTTGATGTTATTACCAAATACCGTAGGTGCTTGTAACAAATTATGGTTACCACCATTAATTAAAATCCTTCTTTGGACATTAATGATTTAAAATTACCTTCTCTGATACATTTGTCCGTTGTATATCATATATGGGATTACTTTTAAAAATGTGAAGGTTTTAACTTGACTCAGAATATATTTACACTACCTCCGAACAGTCGTCATGTACCAAAATTTTAATCGGTTCAGAGGACGGGAGGTTTCAACAACATCTTTAATATTTTCAATTGTTCTTTTTTGTAATGTTAGACCAATAACAATATTATGTTGTTATTATTATGGCATATCAATACGTTATATCGCTCTCCATTGCGTTCATTTTCAGAAAATATTTTAAAATTATAATCATCGAGCGTGAAATCCATTAAGGTTTCGGATTTAGACTTACACATTTGATGGCGACAATCACGAAGAAATATGAAACAAATAGGAGTGAAGACTGCTCTCCAGATCAATAAATAGTAAATAGTTGACGAAAAATAGTAAATTATGTATTTTCTTTTGAAATTGAATCTATTTCGGAATTTGTTTTATGATAGCTTACTAACTTTTGCATATTTTGCTTCCATGTGTCACATGCAGCACGTGCTTCCGGTTTCAGAAATGATAGTAAGTATTTTGATTATTTCTCGAAAACTGCATTATTTTGCTATTGAATAGTTTACCTAGAATGTATATCAGTTCAGATTTTGCGTATCATCCAATATTTGTCATATTTCGCAGTGTTTGTTGACTTTGTTTAACTCAACAAATCGCGAGTTAGGCCACGCCCAAACGTATCACTGACGTTTGTCGGCTTGTCAATGTGTCCGAAAGTTTATCAAACGAAATCATTTGAAAACTCTTTAAAAATGATTTTTTTTTACACAGATTTATACATAATAATTCAATAATTCTAGAAAATTAAGTTAGATGTAACAAAATAAATGTAATAGTCTAACGGGATAACTATGCATGTGGAGTTGTTTGTTTACCGCCGTTGCCATGATCGTACAAGTTCCATCCAATCGATGATGTTACAATTCAGATTGTTTTTGTTTACAATTAGTTACACCGAAAGTTGCTTATTTTTAGAAATTAAGGAACATGAGAGTTTTCCTTTTGTTAGCAAACAAAAATTTATGATCGAATAGGAAAAATGATGAAATCATAAAGAAAATATCGGACTGCATGCCGCTCAACGGGAAGTGCCAATAGTCAACAATGGCCGTTTCTGGAAGTTGTGTGCCGAGAAGTTTGGCCGAAACCTTTTAACTTGCGATATTTTCTTTTTGAGGTAAATAAATGACTAAGTTTTGATATTGAGCAAGCTGAGCATTTATGCATGTCATACGTAATTTAAATGTTACGCAAAGCCTTCTTGGTAAATAGATATGTGGAGTTTTATTTTGAGGTGTCGTTATGCTATTCGCCTGTCAAATGGGTTCGACATCAGATGCACAGGAAGTGACACCTCTGTCGAATGGGTTCGATGTTAGCGTGCAGAGCTCTAAGCTTGTCAGTGTGAGGGACTGCAGTGTTTCAAGGGACATAACTCTGGAGCAGCCAGGGATGAAAGAGTTAATATTGACTTACTGTGTCTGTTTTATTGAAAACTATTACAATAATCATAGATTTATGTGTGATATCTACCAAGTGCTAGATCGTTACAACTGTAACAATAGGTGTTGACTCTAGCACACAGGAAAGAAGTGAGATTCCCACCATTGCGCACGTCATAGCTTGTTTGGCTATGGTGCTATTTGTGTGATTGACAGTGAAGAGGACGCCTGTTGAAAATCTGAAAATTTTAGTTAGTGGGACTGAGCCAAAATACAGGATTTATGGCAAAGATGTTATGGAGGTCGAGGATTCACAAGAATTTTTCATTTTACATGTGTAAACAGACATGAGACACTCACATGTATTCAGTTGTTACCTTCATTCTAATTTTGGAAGGTCTATAACACAAACAAGAACTATTGTGGATATTAAAAATAATACGGAAATGTAAAGAAGATGTTTCATACAAATAACTAATGTTGCTATTAAAAATAATATGGAAATGTACAGAAGACACTTTTAATGCAGCAAATACTTACTCCTACCCAGGGTGTACTCCTCACTCCAGTTGGTCATCCACATCTGGTTCATGCCACCCTGACATGTGTAGTGATCTCCCTCTTTCCTCACAGCACTGATGGTCAGAGTGCTGTAGTAGCGGTAGTGGTACAACCTCAATCGCTCATTATCTTCTGTCAGGTGCAGCCTGCCTCCTGTCTCCAGCTGGTCACCATTCTTCCTCCAGGTGAAATACACGTCAGGGATGTAGTAGTAGTAGTTGAAGTAGCTCCTGGTAAAGGAGGAACATGTCAGCATGGCACTGCTGCCAGGCGGAATTGTCTCCGAGGCAACTATGTACGGGTCTTGAATATCTGTGAAAACAATGAAATGAAAACAATGAGAGATATACATAATCAGGTAGACAGTCTCAGCACATGCAGAGTCTTGCAGATAGTCAAAATAACTTCACTCACATACAGTTCTTTCAGCACAATATGCTGTATTTGTCATAATAAGCATCCATGGTGCTTGGAAAAGTGACACAGGGTGGCGCTTATTTTAACCATACACAACAAGTTAAATCAGTTTTCAGAGATCAAGCGATCAATGAAACTAAAACTAGGATGTGCTATTTTGGGGAAAAGAAGTGAAGTTTTTCCAGCCTCGCACATGCGCAGAGGATGTTTTGGTGGGAATATTCTGTCTTCATTGAGACTCCCTGATAGATGGCAGAGAAACATGTTGAAAATCTTAAAGCTTTATAGTAGGAGGACAGCCACTAATAATGGCTATGATGTCATACACAATGTTATACACAAACTATTGTTTGGTTACTGTAAGTATCCCCATAGTGTTCCAAATGTAACAGCACATCTCTAACCACCAAGGAGTGATTTCCGAGCAGTGGGGGAGGATACAATTCGATTATACCAACCATTTAAAAGAAAAAACTCTCTCAGGTATGTCTAAGTCACACCGGACACAGGATGTCTGGACACTATCACCTCAAAACTTTTGGAGAAAGTCCTATTCTAATTAGATCACATCTGCTACTCGTCATACGAGTCAACACTGTTCAGGGCTGTTTTTAAGGTGGCATACTTTGGATTCTTTCAGGTGAGTGAGATAGTTTCATATTCCATGCAGCATGACCGTAATCAAGCTTAATAAGTGACTGATTTCGCCATATCCCATACTGGGTGACAAGCTGTTATTCATCTGTGGTATTCCATGACCGATCAGTCAGGAAAAGGTACATACATCTATTTCAGCAGCTGTTTATCCATTTCGACAGTCGTGTTCTATCCATATATCATTTTCTCTATTCTGATTGACTCCAACCAGTATGCATCTCTCTGTATATGACCGCAGATAAGCCGACCCCGTAGATAAGCCGAGGTATTAACTTGACCATTGAAATATGAAAGAAATGGTATGACCCATGGATAAGCGGAACCAGGAAGTGAAAGGCAACGACCCACCGGGAAGTCGGACTGCAATATTGTACCGGTACTTGCAGATATTCAATAATATAAGATGAAAAACGTAATTATATTGAAAAAGTCATTTAATTTCTAGTAAAGATTTAACAAACCAGTCATCCACTCCCCTTATATGGGAAGGTGTTTCTGTTGTCTTATTTTCACCTTATAATGATTGTTAAGTTGCCATCAACAACGAGACACCATTTTGTGAATCCGTGTATATATAATTATGAACCCATGTGAAAATGTCTCAGCTAGAGCGATGACTCGCATCATCATAAGCATGGCCTTTTCGTTTCAAACTCAAGATGAGAATGTCAGTCAGTAAAAATATACCAACTTTTATACCCCTATGCAGTAACTCACCAATTTGCTTCAATTCAGCATCAAACATTGCCGTCACTATTGTATGTTAAACTTAAATATGAATAAATCCTTCTACAAATCCAAATCCTCACATAGAAATGAAAGCAGCAATAAATCTCGCAGAGTCTTTCCTTGAGGTGACAAATAGCAACTGATCTTCTAAAATTCAACAGCAAACATTGTTGTAGCTGTGGCCAGCTTGGCCTATCAACAAGACAATAGACTGGGCCGGGGCGCGCTGGGGCAAAGAGTGCTGTAAGTCAAAAGCATGCAGTGTGACAATTAGTGGAAGTTAGACTGAGAGTAAGCTTACTTAATGTTACAGAGCTATGGAATGAATGTTTAAGGTATAAAATACTAAGGTATAAAACATAACTAATATTATAACTAATAATATATTCTTATAATGTAAATATCGTAACAAACTAATTAGTTAAAATGGTAACAAGGCCATATAACCTTACTACTTACTAATAAATCTTAATTAAAAGTATGTACATAAATGAGCCTGCCACATATACGGCAATGAAAACGCCGATAAAGTAGCTAAACTATCCCTTAAAATCCCAGAAATAAGCTTAAACCTACCCATCTCCAAATCAGAAATTAAAAGTGTTAACAAACAAAAAATCACCAAAAAATGGCATAACCTATATCAAAACTCAAATAGCCAAATCAAAAAGGTTCTCAAAAAACTCCTAACCAAACCAAAAATTCTACATCCGTCCAAAAAAATCGACAGAGTAATTACTAAACTCCAAACAGGACATACCAACCTAAATAACCACCTCAAAATAATAAGAAAACACGCAACAGGAACCTGCCCACATTGCAAACAACAAGAAACCCCAGAACACTCACTCACTACCTAACACACCAAACTACACTACAAACCACCCTAAATCTAAATAAGGCTCTTACTCTAGAAGCAATCCTAAACCCACAAAATAAAATAGAAAAATTCAAAGCCTTAGGCGTATACTTAATCAAAACAGGACTAATAAATCGCATTTAAAACCCCAAAAAACTACCAAAACCAGACCACATAATCAAACTAACAAACTTCCATACTCAGGTCCCTCAGTTCGTCCCCCAAACCCTCTTGGCATTTTTTCAAAATTTCAAAATTTTCAAAATTCTATATAAGCAACCACTAAAACACCCCTACTGGATTGCCAAACAACTTTTTCCCCTATTCGCAAACACTTTAAATGGCTTGGCCGGGCCCGTGTGCGAAATACGCTGCAGTCGGAAAGCGCACGTAAAATCTCCAATATAAGTAAGTAAGTAAGTAAGCTGGGTTCTGGTGCTGGCCAGATTTCGGTGTGAACGTGGGAAACTGAAAGGTATCCGATGACGTTTCTCTTCCATATCGTCTCCGTAATGGCATCGCTGATTGGTTTACAAAACGGAAATAGAAACATAAGCCAATCGCAGACCTTGTTAACAGTATTTTGTCAATGTCAAGGACTAAGGTCCAAATGGCATTGCCAAAACTTTGTCAAAAGAAAAATAGGTTTCAAGAAAGTTTGCTTGAAGAGCCAATTGATCTTTCAACACTGTAGGCCGGTACCCTCAAGTCCCCAGACACCGCAGGAAGACCGACCAAGCCGTAGTCACGTCAAAATAGAGGGTAGATCTATATAATTTCATGAACCTACCTGTCATATCATTCATTTATTAAATTTATCACATTTTACAATGACTGATATATGTATTCGATTTCAATTTATCATTTTTTATCAATAGATTAGAAATGATTCACTATTTCCTGCGATGTTATTGAAAATAAAATTCTCGGACACACACTTTGACAACATTGAACATGTCAAAGAACAAAATAAAGACGTTTCTGGCAAATCTTTAAATATAGTATACAAAGTAATAAATAAAATCAACCAAAAGTTGTCAAACTTACAGCTAAGATATTATTTCCATTTTTTTTGGCGATCGCGTGTAATTTAAATCAAATGACATCTTGGCTTTCGTCACCTCGATTTCTCGGCTCGGATACGATGTTTCCAATATGCCTGAAAAACCTTTGTCACAGCTCCTAACCTAGCACAATACATCCACAAAGTTCCATGTTTTTAATATAGATTGCGAGTTTCCTGCTTGAAACTTTCAAAATAACAAAAACTTTTCGTCAAAATTACACACATACCATTGTTGTAATTTGGTTGACAGCCTTAGGTCATGTGCTCTAGTTTGACCAATCACCACCATTGTAGCAGATATTGGCAAGAAAGCACATTACAGCTACGAAAAGAATCTAGGCGAGGTTGGTGGAGATGAAAAAAATAAGCTTTCTAATACGAAGCTTCGAAAACGGATGTATTTCTTCATGTTACTGAGCGGACAGGCGCTGGTATCGGGAAATTGGTGATGACAGATACTGTTTTTAAATACATTTCCGATCACGCAAAAAATGAAAATAAAAAAGAAATAGGTGGATCTAAGTGGATTTTATGATTGTTTATATTTTCGCTTCCTTGATGCTCAATCTGGACGTTTGAATGTGTTAGCTTACATTTGTTTTTATTTACAACTTACTTAACTCTTTCAACACCAGTCAACCAGAAGTGTTTACTGCTGGGACACCGAGTTCCCAGAAACTCTTGTGTGATAGATGAAGCCAACATTTATCAAAGAAAATATCTGCTTGTTAAATATATTTGCTACTACATGTTATACACCATTTGAAAGGTCTGATCCTATGGTTTCTAAATATGAAAGTGATGTTTTTCACATTATTTAAAATAATGCATTTACAACTTAATTAAGTTCGTTGTAAATAAAAAATGTAAGCTAACACGTTGTTAACAACTGGACCAAGGAAGCAAAAACTTGACGATTTTCGGATTTAATAAAATCCACTTACCTATTTCTGTTTTATTTTCATTGTTTACGTAATTGGAAAATCATTTTAAAAAGAATTATAAATAGTATCTGTCATCACCCATTTCCCCATAACAGCGGCTGTCTGCTCAGTAATATGAAGAAATACCCCCTTTTCGAGACTTTGTATGAATAACACGTTAGTCGAAGAATGGCATATAACACATCGCTGGAAAGCTTATTCCTTCATCTACACGTTCGTAACATCGCCTGGTTTTTTTTCATAGTTACCAGTATAACAAACGATTTCATTGGATTAAAATTGGTTTCTAATAACGCTTTCTTGCCGAAATCTGCTACAAGGTTCAGGATTGGTCAAATTTGAGCACGTGACCTAAGGCAGCCAATCAAATTACAGCTGTGATACCAAGTTTGTGTTTGAACATTTTCAGAAGTTGACGAAAGATTTTTGGTAAATCGTGTTATTCTGAACGTTATAACCAGGAAATCACAAAATATATTAAAAATATGGAACTTCGTGAATGTATCGTGCTAGGTTACGAGCTGTGACAAAGATTTTTCATGCATATATTTTAACATTAAACATCATGTCCGAGCCGAGAATTCAAGGCGACGAAAGCCGAGATGTCATTTGACTTACATTACATGCTATTGCACGAAAA